GTGCCTTTTATGGGTTGAAGTTCTTGGAGAGAATGTTACGGTCTAATGTTCAGTTGGTGCGCGCGCGCGCACACACACACACACACACACACTCACTATTCTTATCATTTGTCTTTTAAAAGTATTGGTATCTGTAATCTGTTGAAACAGTTCTAGATTTAAGTGGTGCTTGAGTAAAAAATTCTACACTTTCGAGACATCTAGCTTATAAAAATGTTTAGTAGGTGCTTTTAACATTGAGAGATAAAGCCCCTAAGAGAGACTTGAGATTTTCACAATCATATTTTTTTTTAATACCATCTGATTTCATTCTTAAGTGGAGTAAAAATGGTATGAATGAGAGTTGATGTTGGGATGTAAGAATAATTGGTCCCAATAAATTCTTAAATCTTAATTTTAGAATGGCATGCTTCCATGTCTTCAAAGTGTTTGCCTTGATGATGATGAAATAATAGCTTATTGACTTTTGCTGTGAAAATGAGCAAAAATTAAGATCTTTGCTAGACCTCTAAAAAATTTTAGAAATATCCTTGAGTTCCTGAGTCATGAGCTGTTACTACCACTAGGATTGTTGCTAAGATCGTCTATTAGATGTATCTCGCCCTGCCCACACCTGCCTGGCAGTAGTTTGTTACCTGTGTATGGTAGCCTGGGGGCACAGTGACTAGACTTACATTTAATTCTTGACCTTGTAGTGCTACTTAAGGATATGTTTCTATCAAAGTGTTTTCATATTATGTTTTTGAATTTTATTTAAAAAATGACTACCAAGAGCAGCCTTACATATTTGGTCACTGAGAACCAGTTTGTTGCCTGAAATTTAAGCTCACTGATTTAGATGGGGGATTTGCAGCCACCATTACAATTTCTTTGTTTCCGAGTTGTTTTCATGGGCACGGGAACATGCAGATCTGCTGTGTGTGCGGTGCACAAACTCGCACGCCCATGTGATCTGTGCGAATGCTCCCCGTAGTCTCCATCGCATGGCGATGCTTAACGCGCCCGTGCTCTCGGCTCAGTATCTCTATCTGGGCAGATGCGTTTTGGAGGGAAGGCTGTGCTCCTAAAGCTGCTGCAGATGAAGGTTTTGCTCTAAAAGGACTTTGGGGAAGCTCTTGGTGTGAAGAGCATCGCTGACACTCTTGAATGTAACTTCCCTGCATTGTCTCTCGATGGCCATTTTAGAGGGAGCCTGTGGTTCCGGAGACGGGCTTCCATTTGACCTAATTTGGCAGAGGATTGCCATGTTCTCTTCAGAGGGCGACAGATTTTCTTTGTAAGTTTTAATTTCTCAGAGAATCGTTTAAGCACACCCTGTTCCTGGCTGCCTTTTCTCTCCCGTAACCCGTCCTTACTCTGAGCTACAGCTTCCCGGGAGAGCAGGGACGGTGCCTTCCAAACAATGACACGCAAATCCCCCATTCGGACCCTGCCCCAGCTTCAAGGGCAGTAAGCCGGCTGCACTTGTTTATCAGACAGAGCGGCCCGGGGCCGTGCAGCCCAGGAGAGACATTGAAAGCACATCACACACGAGACACGACATACCTTCCCGGGCCAGGCCCTTGGTGTGCAGAGGATCATGCCCACGGAGCAGACTTTCGGCTCCAGCCCTTCAGCAAAAAGGTGCCACGGAACATGCGCACATCCCCCACGGTCTGCCTCCTGCGCCTGCTGTGCCGGGGCCCCCGGTGTCCACCTGTCTCCTGCCTCCAGCGCCTCCTCCTTCATGGGGGCGCTGGGCTCCGGGGGCTCTTCCCTGCTGGCATCTCCTCTGCTTCGGAACAAAAGAGCTGTGGCTGCTGCTCTGTGTGCAGCGGGGCTGTCTCGGCCCGGCGGCTGCTGCGTGGAAGCCCTACCTCTGCGCTCCCGGCCGGACAATGCAGCGCCGTCCTCCCTGCTGAGGATCCATGTTCCCGGCCGCGCTGCAGGGGGAGCCTCGCGGGGAGGAGGCCGGGCCCGGGTGCCTGGCAGCTGCAGGGAGGCTCCGGCAGCGTCCCGGGGGCGGGCTCGGGTGGAATGCGAGGTCCGCGCTCCTCCTGCCGCACAGGCAGGCAGCACTTTGAATGTGGGCTTGACAGATGTTCCCTCTGACAGAGCAGAATCGCACGTCACTGCTTGGCTCGGGCCCACGTGATCGTTTGCATTAATTTGGACTAAAAGCCGAAGGTAGGAGAAGCTTAGCGACTGTGCTTCTGTGTGACACTCAGTCCCCGTGTGGTGACGGGTGAAGAATAAGAAAAGGGATGATTAGGAAATGAAGGGCGATAATTTTATTTTCTTTATCTTATGTCCTTTTTTTTTTTTGTTGGCTTTATGCTTGAGCACACAGGCTTTCTAAATGTTTTCAGGGTTAGATGTTGCTTTTCCTGTGTGTGTGTGAGGCATGGTTGTATAGGGTACTACAATATAAGCTTTGAGAGAGAGAGAGAGAGAGAGAGAGACATGGTTGTATATAGGGTACTACAATATAAGCTTTTATATGTAACTTGATCCGATTCCATCCCTTCAATGCACCCCTTCCTTTGAAGTTTTTTTTTTCTCTCAAGTTGCCTCCCTTTTACGAACACCTGGTTCAGACTCGAGGGCCCTTTTCTTTGATCTGTAACTCAGACCCCACCCCCCATTTCTGGGGCTTATGTAAGTCAGCTGCCTGGCTTCACTGCCACAGTGTGCTACAGCCCACCTGCTTTGTTCCTCTGTGTGGTGCCCGATGTCCTCGAAGGCAGTAAAACTTTATTTCTAACCACTTTTGCATTTTTACTTATTTTGCCTTTGTTTAAAATTCCACGTATGATAAAATTCAGCAAAATGATAGAGTACATACAGCACACGTGCAGAGGATCTTGCTGGTGGGCAGTTAGGTTTTTCTGAGGAGACTCACTTGTCCCAGTGTTTCGGGGTGGGATGGTAACTTGCTGTCAAGCCGGCTTTCTAGTAAGCACTAGGTACTGGGATATTTCTTGGTATATTTAGTCTCCTGGGCACCTTCTTTTTTTCTGCAGAGTATTGGGGCATTCTGTTTTTTTAAAATAGCTTGAATTATCAGTTTTTCCCCCAGACTTTAGGTACACTAACTCCCAGAAATGTATAGTTTTGGGACTTAAGCTATATGTTCACGGTCCTATATCCCAGTAATGTCTATTATATCAACTATAGCCTTTCATTTCCTGTAATAGTTTTTGATTATCACATGTCAGTTTATGGAGGAAATAGAGATGCTAGAGATTAACTCTAGTCACTTGTTTACTTTTCAGGATCATAGAAGGATCCAAAGTCCGCACACTATCTATTTACACAATTACTTTCCCATATGTTGTTCATGAACATAAGACTCAAATACAGAGAAATGTCTAGTGAACCTGAAAACTGTTCTTGTGAATTTCACATCAAAGGGTGGTGATTAAGGGTCAGGAAGTGCGGACATGGAGGAAGGACAAAAATGGGACATGAAAAAGCCTGCTTGCGCTACATTTCATTTTCTTCTTTTTAAAAATCCTCACCCAAGGATATGTTTATACTGATATTTTTAGATTGGGTGGGGGGGCGGGGAGAGAGAGAGACATCCATGTGAGAGAGAAACATTGATCAGTTGCCTCCTTTTCAAACCCCAATAAGGAATTGAACCCAAGACCCTTCCGTGCACAGGATGATGCTCCAACCCAGTGAGCCACACCAGCCCGGGTGTAGATTTCATTTTCACAGTTTCAATCTTTCCAACTTGTAACAAGGGCTCCTTCCCCTGAACCTGGGTTAACCGATGTTACTAACATAACCCCACTGGGAAATGTGCTGCTGGGTGCCCCTGCCGTCCCTGCCCTTCAGGCAGCCCGTTGTCCACACCGCCGGCCTTTGCCCAGGCCAGAGCTGTGGAGTTGGGGCCCAGGAGGCAGCCTGAGGGACAGATTTGGTTTTGTGTCCCAAGCCAGCCAGCTGCTCGTGTTAACTTGTAAATTTAGTGCCAGGCTCTCTAACATTTTTTATTTCTGTCCATTAGATTTTTAGTGCATTTTAGGAGCTTATGACTGTTATGTGTCCTGACTGGCAATGAAACCAACCTTTCGGTGCATGGGAGGGACGCCCAACCAACTGAGCCACACTGGCCAGGCCCAACCCGTTTTTTGGGGCATTTAATTCTCTGTCCACCCATGCACATGCTCCCTGCTCCGTTTGCTTATTTAATTTGGAGTAATGCTTCAGCGCCTACTTAAAATCACTCCGCTGACAGAAGGAGAAGTTGGAGTTAGAAGATCATATTTATCAGGAGCGCCTTGCTTTGACTATGTAGCCAGCAGCAGTGGCCACTGCCGAGGATGAACCCGGTCGGCGTGGATCTGCCTGAGATGTTCCATAAACGGCCTTTTTGCTCATCAGTTTCATTGCAGTGCCCATCGGCAGAGGAGGAACCAGGCTTAGAGTCGTCAAATGATTGTCCCCACTGGTAGCTAAGCTGTGACGAGGGATTAAAGCGAGGTTCTCTCAGTCCTTGCGCTCCCAGGTCGGCCATGGCGTGCGTGGTGTGCGTGGTGTGCGTGGCGCAGCCGGGGAAATGGCGCTTTTTCCGACCCTGGGGCAGCATGCCCAGAAGTCACTCACAGAAGCATGAGTGGCTGTTTATATTTTCACTTTATTATTTGTCCAACAAGTAGTTATCGACCAACCATTGCGCGCCCACATCTGCAGGCGGGCGCAGCTTGTTACACCTTAGGGCCCAGGGATCCCCCGATTTTGGCCCGTTCTTTTGGTTGGGCTCTGGTGGGCCCTTGGGTTTCCTTTGGATCTGGATGATGAAGAGCGCTCCAGCGGTACTCGCTGGCGAGGAGGGAGCCTTCGGTACTGTCCGCAGCCCCGAAGTTTCCAGGGCTTGTCGACCCCACGGCAGTGGGCCCGTGTGTGTACAGCAGAGCCTCCTGCAGACTCCTCACGGCCTGTGCACGTCGTCGGAATGGACTTTCCGCTACAGGCCCCCCCGCGTTCTGTCCTAAGTTCAGGTGACGCTGGTGGAGAAGACGAGCAGGCAGAGATGAAAGCTCCCCCAGTGGCTCTTTCTAGCACCTTCGTGTTCCCAGCCACGGAGTCTGTAGAAATCCTGACAGGCAGGCTGGTAGACGCTCTCCCTTTAGTCTCCTGTCTTTTAACATCTGAATTCGATGCTTAAACTTTCTCAGGAAAGGTGACAAGTTTTTTGTCAGACTCAGCAACTGGCAGCTGTTTTGTGAAGTTTTATAGTTCTGCCTAACTGTCTGGTAATTTCTACTGAAGCATTGAGCGTAGTATCTTTCATCTCGGGTAAAAACTGCTGTTTGGATTTTAACCCTGCTGTCCTGGCTTCTGTGCGCGTGCTTGCTTACACAGCAGGGCAGTTGCCTCAGTTTCCAGATTAGACCGGGACCTGGAAACTCACACACATCCCCCCCATTATGTCGCCAGCCCACATCACAGAGGCTCTTCTGTGTCCAAGGACCAAACCACAAAATCACTTTCCTTAACTCAGTGGCTCTGGGAACTGAAACTATAGAACCTTTAAAGATGGTTAACTTTGCTCAATTCTGCTTCTGTAAAACTGCTTTCACAAGGTAATTCCACATTCCAGTGTCTAGCGCAGCGGTTCTCAACCTGTGGGTCGCGACCCCTTTGGGGATCGAACGACCCTTTCACAGGGGTCGCTTAAGACCACCAGGAAACACATATATAATTACATATTGTGTTTGTGATTAATCACTATGCTTTAATGATGTTCAATTTGTAACAATGAAATTGGGGGTCACCACAACATGTAGTAAAGGGTCGCAGCATTAGGAAGGTTGAGAACCACTGGTCTAGCAGGATGTGGTTTTGGCCTTTATAAGATGGCTACTACTCTACTCAGGCACTACGAGATTTGGAGAGTATTTGTCCCCTCGTAGTCCTGGCTTTGAAATAAATGTGCCTCCTTAATTCGACTTCTTGAGGTGTCCTTGTGTGATTTGCGGGGTACACTGCAACACTACCTGCATGGTCTGCGTTCACATCTGTCACACACCTGAAGGGAAGAGGCCGTCATCTCTAACGCGGAAGAGCAGAGCTGTCCCGCTGGTTTTCGGGTTTCCCTGGGCTTGTCTAGAAAGCCCCCCAGGAGTCCGAATCTAAAGCCGGGTTTGCCAGGCCCCTGACAACCTTCAACATGAAGCAGGAGTTATTTCACCAGCAGAAATGGGCGTCTTCAGGAATGGCAGCGGCGTAGCATTTGGGACACGGTAGCTGTGACGAGCCACAGGCATGTCCAGAGGACAAGGAGAGGAGCCTTACTTTACCGGGAAAGGGGTGGGAGTGCTGGGCGGGAGCGCTTTCAGCACAAGCCCCCGGGGCGAGCATGTGGGTTGCAGTGGGAGAGGGCCCCTCCCCAGGGCTAAAGGTGAGGGCCTTTAGCGTCTCACACCTCCTAACCTTTAGTTTCTTCTGGTACAGAAGTAATGGTTTTATTCAGCTTTTGAGTGATCGTTATGTGATGAGTCAGGTGTAACTTTATTCGTTATCTAATAGTAGAGGTAAGTCATTTTATGGACTTACTAGTATACTACCTGCTTATCTGTGTAGATAAATTCAGCTACATGTCCTTGGTAGGAAGAACGAGGGAGAACGGGGTGCGGGGAGAGCACCCCAGCCCTGGTGGTGGTTTGCACCTGTCGCATGTCTTCTCATCCCGGGAGGAGGGAGTGGGGTCCGGTCCTCCCTGCGTTGGTCTCCATCCCTCTCTGTGCTTCAGTGTGAGTGGTTGGCCCGTAAATGCTCGGCATTTATTTCCGCTCCTGCTCGCCGA